TTGATAAGAAAAAAGTGAATGAAAGCATCGCTCACTGCAAAATTTGTAAGTTTTCCTTATTGAGGAATAGGGTCACTGCTAGCCTTGGGAGATCCCGGGAATGTAGACAGGGGGGTTTTTCTGTTTGCTTTTAATTCAGATCACAATTTTGCTCCCTGCTACAAAGAGCTCTTTCACATAACTTCTTTGCAATTCTCCCACTCCGCCCCAGTCTCTGATTTATAGCCTCTGCACAGAAGTACATTTCTACCAACTGCTACATTTTTAATTTCATCTCTAGTCATACACTTTGAACGGCATGTCAGTAATGGTCTCAAAGAAAAAATGCTCATGGTAGTGTCCTATCTGAAGCCCCAATCCTGCAATTTACAATTGGGGCTGGAAGAAAAATGTCAAACTAAACAGTTTCTCACTGGGAAATGGGGTTTCGTTGAAATAAAAGTTTTCTATGGGAAAAACTTGATGTCTGGAATTTTCAGCCAGGAAAATCAAAATTGTCACATTCATAGAACAGGGCTGGAAGGGACCTCAGGAGGTCATCTAGTCCAACCCCCTGCTCAGAACAGGGCTAATCCCCAGACAGATTTTTTGCCCCCAATCCCTAAATGGCCCCCTCAAGGATTGAACTCACAACCCTGGGTTCAGCAGGTCAATGCACAAACCACTGAGCTATCCCTCCCTCCTAATGAACCATGTTGTTTAGTTTCAAGTCAATGTTAATCCCTGTTTCTGCCTGAGATGTCACCGTCCCTTATACGGGTTGTAGTTCTGGACATTTCCTACCCACATTCTCCCCATGAGCCCCCACTCTCTGGTTGGCCATCATCTCCTGGGATTCCTCGCAGCCTCTCCCTGCAGCTGGGGTCCGCCTGCATTTTAAATGGAAGGATCAGGGTGGGATGATGAAGGCACAGGCGAGAGCGTTAGCTCAACGGCAAGGCCTTTTTATGTGCCATCAAATGAGAAATGGCATTCACGCATGGTGAACAGCTCTTGAATAGTGTACAAAAGGCATTGATTTTCCGTCACTCTTTTTTACTTTTGATGCCTCCTTGATCACTGAGCTATGAGCTTCTTCAGATAACAGAGCTAAAAACCTTCTTCTACAGCAGATCCTACTCACCTTCGCATGTGTAACCGCTCTCAGGGAGTAGGGCCAGCAAAGTTTGACCCTCTAACATTGCTGTTTTCTTAGGGAAACCGTCAGAGCATTGCAAAGTCAGGCTCTTCACTTTACCAACATAAACAGTAACATGCTCACCTACATATTTCAGAAGGGGGGAGGGAAGAATGAAAATGCAGCACAGCTAAATGAGCACGGCTGTGGAAATTTGAACTAACATGGTCCCTTAATTTTTTTCTGATTGGGGGCTGCTGTTGCAAAGTCAATCTTGCAAACACTTTCAAAGGTACTTTAACTTTACTATCATGCACTTCTGCACCCCCTGGACTCTACTGCCAGGAGCAGCCCCCAAAGTGGAAAGGAAAAAAATAATGAGAAAAGACATTCAAAGATAGAGCAAACTGGCACCAGTCAGTGGCTATTGCACATTCTCAGCAGTTTGTACTTTCCAGGGTGTGTTTCTCAAAGTGCAAGCTAATGCTTTCTAGGCACGCTCTGCAGTCTTCAAATGTTCATGCAACTGTTAATTCCTTTCTTCCCCCACCCCATACCTAGCTATGGACTGTGATGAGGTGCACAAACTCTGCCTTGGGTGAGGGCAGCAAAGGGTTAATGATCTGGCCTGGAGACAAGGAGTTAAATCAGGAACACCTGCCAGAAGCATCAGACCTGGGTGGAGGGTCCTCCAGCTGCAGTAAATAATCAAAGGGGACCTGGATATAAAGGGAGGAGGCTGCCCTGATGAGGGGAAGCTGCAGCTTGGGAGGGAATTGAGGACATAACAGAGTGATCACCCTGTGAGTAGGGGAGACTATACAGGTCTCCCTAGGGAATGGCGTAGACATAGGTATTTTTTTCCTCTAGTTCTGTGCCCAGCCTGTAGACAACACAGGCAAGAGCACTTTGCTGCTTGTTTTATTTGCCTGATTTAACAAACCTGCCTTCCTTTTGTGGCCCACCTGATGTGACCTCTGCCCGTAGGCCTGCGTCTCAATGAGGACTATTTATATGCCAAGTTCCAAATCTCCTTTCCCCCCTCTTTAAATAGGGGGGAGGTCTAGTTTTTCATGGTGTGGAAAGTAAATATTTCATATTCCCAACTCAAAAATGGTGAAAAGGGACTTTGCTCAAAGGGATTCTCTTAGAAAGACCAAGAGTCTGTAGAGAACCTCACCCCGTCCGGTGAATTCTTAGCAGAGCTATGAGTCTATGAGCCAGCTGGGTTGTAACTGAAACTGTTTTGCAACCCTCTCGGGCCCGTTTCGCTGTGAAGGAAATGCTGTCATAATGTTCGGTATGTGTATACAGGAACACTGCTCAGCTGAGGCGCTCGGGGTGCTTGGGAGGTAGTGGATAGATCACTCGACTGGGAGTCAGACCTGACTTAAACTCTGCCCTGACCTGCTGTATGACCTTGGGCAAGTCACTTTCTCTGTGCCTCTGGGGTTTTTTGCTCCTATCCTTGTGTCTTCAGATAGCAAATTCACTGGGCTAGGAAGTGCCTCCTGCTTAGAGTTGCCTGGTGTCCGGTTTTTGACCAGAAAGTCCGGTTGAAAAGAGAACCTAGCAGTGTCCGGTCAGCTGTATTGACCGGACACTAAGTCTGGTTACTGCGGACAGGGGAATAGGGGCAGTCTGTTGCCCAGTCCTGAAGCGGCAGCTCCTGCGGCAGGATGCATGCACCAGCTCGGGCCACAGGCAGCCCCTTTGAGGAGCATGGTTTGCAGGACTGCAGCGGAGGACAGAGTGCAGGGGCCCATGGCGAGTGGGGTAAGGAGCTCTCAGCGGGCTGGGAACGTTCCCCAGGATGGAGCGAGGCGAGCTGCCCCACCCAGTGCTTTTTTCCTGCTGTGCTCTCACTGCACTGGGGCAGACAGCGCAGAGGGGGGCGGGGAAGGAGGCTGCTGAGTGGGCAACGCAGAGGGGGGCGGGGAAGGAGGCTGCTGGGCTGCTCCTGTGTGGCTGCAGCGCTCTTCTGACCTTTACTCCCAGGCAGCCTGCTGGGACTGGGGTTCGCAAGTCCCTTGGGGCTACTCACGCTGGAGTTGGGGGGGGACGTACGGGGGGGCTCATGGGGAGAGGTGCGAGTGGGGCCTTGGGGACGAGGTAGGGTGGGAGGTCTGGTTTTCAGACATTGGAAATGTAGCCACCCTGCTGCTGCTGCATGTTTGGACAGGATCTAGAACAAGGGGAACCTGAGCTTGGTTGGGACTTCTAGATGCAACTGCAGTAGAAATGACTTGGTCTTCCCTGTGGATAGACAGGAATGGCTCCTCCCACCACTGTAATGCAGGTTCCGCTAGGGAACACGGCATTCAAATGTTAGCCGCTGATGAAAAGCTTTTCACAATGAAACTGGGCAAACTTACCCAAAATAGGTCCCAGCCAATGTTCAGTGGCTTAAAAAAGCCTGCACTGTACAGTCTATTGCACTGTATAGACTGGCACGTCGGAACGCATTGGTAGCCAATTAGTTCGTTTTATCATCCATTTATCTACCTTGGCCAAACATTTTCTTCTCTGAAAGAACTCCAGGTGTGTAAGGAGGAACAAGTCTAAAGTTTAAATGAACTTGCCCTGGACTCCGAACCAGCAAAGAGCTACACAGGAAAGCGATCTTGTTTCCTCCCATCTCTTGTCTGTATTTCTCTGTCACAGCGGTTCACTGCCAACCGCAAAGCAACAACGTTTGTCAGTTTACACATAGATTAGCTAGTGTAAACGCTGACTGCTGTACGAAAGGCAGACTCTGTAACCCAGCGAACTCCTTCCAGCATTCCAGGCTCCTAAATCAACGGAGGAGGTAAACTGTAAGCAGCGCTTGCTCCGGGGCGTGGCAGGATGCAGTGAAATGGGGAAACTGGGGGTGCACTGGTCCTTAAAGGGCTCACTTCTCCAAGCAGATCTCCAACAAACCATCCTTCAGCTACAAATCTAATAGAATGGAATGCACTCTGCAATTCAGCGAGGAAGAGTCCAACTGCTGTTGTAGCTCTGTATAAAGTATTGTCTAAAGGGGCTTAACTTCTATTAAATCTCAGAATGCTAGCTTGCTTCTTAAAATGTCTTCTTATAATTTCCTTATACAGCTGTGTGTAGTGTGTGTCTATATAATATGACACACACACGTGTGTGTGTGTGGCTCTATAATCTGTGTGCATATCACACAATATAGCTAAAATAGAATACATGCTGGGGTGCCGTAGCATGCTATTACAGTTCTAATAGCAGGAGTGTGGAGTGGTTGCATAATTGAGCTATGCAGGCTTTCCCAACTGAGGGGGCCACTGACCAGGTTCTACCAGACCACCCTCGTGTATTCAATGTAATAGAAATTGAATGTACATGTAATAGATCTCCTTCATTTTAAAATATTTTTTCCCTCTTGCAATGTTTCTCAGTCCGTTCCTGACCCAAGTGAATTCAAAAGTCTTGTAAATAAGATAAATGTAGTATGACTTTCTTCCTAGTCTAGTGAATTGGAATCTGTATTTGACTGGTCAGTGTACCTATCAATCATCCTCTGATGCTTATGACTAGACCGGGCATATTTATGTGAGGAATGAGACAAGTGGAAGGAATTTCTGTCAGAAATCCTGAAACTCGGCCCTCCTAGGCTCACCCCGCTGCAGTATGGAAAAGTGAATAGGATAAAAATCAATGTCATCTCGCCAAGCGTCTTGGAATAACCTCACCCCCCCCCAGTACATTCTGCCTTTCTGAACTGAGTTTTCAAACTTGCTGAGCCTCTGAATGATATTTTGACACGTCTTGGTTTCCAAGTAACGTCTGTACCATTACAGTCAGTCCATGACATGGATCTAATGTAAAGTGTCAGTCTAATAAATTGTTTCTCTCTCTTTTTTTCCCCTTAAAGGTATTGACTATTGAAGATCGGCAGACCTTCCACTAGAGAAGCAACTCACGGAAAAGACCGTTTTGGTAAAACACTTTGTTACTTAATTCTAAGTGAAAAGGGTAGATTGGGTGTGGAGAAGGCCTGGGGATCATGAGGGGTTTTTGTGGCGAGAGCTCTTCCTTGCCGTTCAAGGAACATGCATCCTACCTACCAGCCCAAGTCCTGGACTCGGTGGATCCTCCCCATAAGTTGGGGGAGGGTCATGTAGCCATGGGCAGGCTTGTGCCCGCCCAGTTCCCAAACCCAGTATGAGCTTTGTTTGCTGCTTGCTCCTTGTTGCAACCCCAGCATATCCTAGCCGGACAGGCCTGAACGGGAACGGCACTGCAGTGGCTTCATGTCGGGCTCTGGTTTTCTCTGAGCAGGCCTGAAGATGAGTTCCTGAGTTGAAGGATTTAACACAAGCGCTATAGCGTGAGCACCCTTGGATCCTCCCCTTTAAGCTGGCTCAGGCTAAATGGCCAAAACTAGACCTGCCGACAGTTTTCGGAGCCAGCGGGAGACCCCTTGAGGGGTGGTGTTTTGAAGAAATGCCTCTTTGCCCCCCTTACTCGTTATCACTCCGAAGGAAAATATGGCCCGTAGAGAATACGGAGCTGACTCTAGCCCAGAAATTCATAAAAGAGAATGCTGTCCTTCTAGACTCTTGGTGAGTGTGTCCATGGAGAAAGGATAAAATACCTGGATAGTCATTGGCTGGGAGAAAGTCAGGCATTCTCACTCTGTCTCTAGCTGGGGGACATCTGGGTTCCAATCCCTGCTCCAGTGACTGTTTGTTTAGACCAAGTGGAACATCTTCAGCCTGCGAGATTGAGAGAGACAGCCCAGAATAGCCAATAGCCTGGTGGTTTGGGCACGCCCCTCAGAGGGGGCAGAAGCAGAGATTTGAACTTGGCTTTCTCACATCCCAGATGAGTGCTCTCACCACCGGGCTAAAGGCTATAAGGGTGGCGTCACCTCCTCAGCTTTTGTGAACTGAGCCCTTCATTTTATTAAAATACCTGAAATGAAATCTTTCCATTCTCTAAAAATTTCAGTTTCGGTTGGAGACAAACTGATTGTGTGGAGTTTTTTTTCCCGGAACTGCCAGAAATCTGAAAAGTCAGTTTATTCTCCTAGCACCGCCTGGGATAGCCCAATGCGCTTCAACTGTGTCCCATCTCTTACATTGATCATGTTTGTGCTTGAAAAATACTAATCGTGCTTAAATGGGGCAGACACTGTTTTTCTGCCCAGTGTAAGCAGAGCCAACTTAGAAAAGCATGTTTTATAGAGACAGTGTAGACTTGGCAACATAATGAACGATTGCAGTTATCCTTTTGTAGGAAACCCTAAAGAAACAGGAAGTGACAATATCCTGTTTTGCATCTAAATGCTCACTTGTTGTGCGGACAATGCAATGCTAGACCAATGCACCGTGTCGATCTCTAGAAATCAGTATATTATAGTCAGCTACTTAAATGCACAGATGTATATTTCCTAATTATTTTATAGCAAAGCTTGGTATTTCAATACAGTATAATGAACCATAATGACTGATATTACTGCTACGGGCAACTTGAAAGACACTTCAAGCTGTCGACTAGAGAACTTGTTGAAAACATCCGTTTGCTGTCATGTGAAGTTGAAACTGAGAGGGGCTTTTATAGTAGGTGCTATTTTGTTCCAAGACTGGAGGAAATGCTTGCTTGCATTCTGGGCATAATTATAGCGTTGTTGTTTTGATTGGGAAGGTAATGGGAAAAGTTTCTCCATTAGTGATGATACTTCTCTCTCCTACCCACCTGGAAGTGAAAATCCTAATTACTGATCTGCTCTCTAGAAAGCTTGCTGCAATACACGAACAGTGAAAACACCATTGGCTTTACAGCTGATCTGCATCAGAGCAACAGGCACTAGCCAAAAGAGCAGGGTTAACAGCACAACTTACTGCTCAGTGCAGTTTAAGAATCTACCCTGGGGAACAACAAAGTGATTGATGGTTACAGCACTGAAGAGACAGCCCCATCAGAGCTGTAAAACTAAAGTATGTTCCCGCCTGCCTCCAACCCCAGATCTCCTTCCCTTTCCAGTCACTGTCCAAGTAAGGATATAAACAGTGGGCCTGCTTCTCTCACTTAATGCCGACTGGCAAATCCAGATTTAACTTCGTTTGGTGTCATGGTGGTTTTCATAGATTCTGGGACTGGAAGGGATCTTGAGAGGTCATAGAGTCCAGTTTCCTGCCCTCATGGCAGGACCAAATACTGTCTAGACCATTCCTGATAGACATTTATCTAACCTACTCTTAAATATCTCCAGAGATGGAGATTCCACAACCTCCCTAGGCAATTTATTCCAGTGTTTAACCCCCCTGACATTAGGAACTTTTTTCCTAATGTCCAACCTAAACCTGCCTTGCTGCAGTTTAAGCCCATTGCTTCTTGTTCTATCCTTAGAGGCTAAGGTGAACAAGTTTTCTCCCTCCTCCTTATGACACCCTTTTAGATACCTGATGTGATGAGGCAACAGTGCCCGATGCTGGAATAGCGCTTCTAGCTCTGGGACCCTTATAATTTTTGACTCCTCACCACTGTAGACACTGCAAAGAGGAGGAACATTGTCATGGTTCTAGCAATGTCACTACGGCCAGGATTTACATCTTTTGAGGCCGTTTACCTATATAAAAATGGATTGGGACCACATTAAACTTAACACACACAGCCACATCTCTGTTAATCACAGACGCCCTTTATTAGATTCCATGGCACTTGCAGCAAATCCAGTTTTAGTTCCCTGATGTATTACTTCACTTTGTTTCCACAGCACATCTGAAAAGCGCAACCGGCACTCAGATGGCCAGCAACAACACCGCCAGCATAGCACAAGCCAGGAAGCTGGTGGAACAGCTGAAAATGGAGGCCAACATTGACCGAATAAAGGTAAAGCATGATTGAAGGCAACTGGGTAATTAGCACGTTCTTTGTGGTTCCATGATGAGTCTTCTGCAGCTAAGACTCCAAGTCGTAGATTTTAAGGCCAGATAGGACTACTGGAGCCATGTAGTCAGACTTCCTATAAAACACAAGCTATAGACTCAAGATCTAGTGTCCCTCAAGTCCTAGAGCTCCGTGTATTTAGCTTATTGAACAAAACATTAAGTCGAATTGATCATGGCCTACAATTACCTACACGAGGAGAAGAGATCTGGCAGACAAAAGGCATGATCCAATGGCTGGAAGTTGAAGTAAGCAAGTTCACTCTGGAAATTTTTATTTTTAACAGTGAGGGTAATTAACCACTGGAATGGAGTAGCCAGGGGTGTGGTAAATCCTCCATCACTGAGTCTTTAAATCTAGACTGAATGGTTTTTCTAAATGATGTCCGGCTAGATCCAGGAATCTCACTGGATAAAATCTGGGGCCTGTGTTCTATAGGAGCTCAGATCATTATGATCATCAAGTCCTTCTGTCTTCAAATCTGTGATGTTAACAAAGTTCCCTAGCTTTCTTATTCGGTGATGAATCCTTTGCTGGTGTGACCATGAACTGTACCCAACGGGAAAACTAGAAGGTTTGGGAAACTCCATTAAACCAGTCCTAATTATATGGCCTTTTGGGAAACAGGAAGACACTCTTTCATGATTAATTGGTTCTGCTTGAAGATGACTGCAGTTGAGTGTCTCATTTAATATATTTCAGACACTTTGTTCTTTGGATAACATTGTTTATGCATGAAATTGGGCTCAGTGGTGTACCCAGACTTGCTTAGAGAAACGCAACAAAACAAAAAGCAAAGTTATCCTTTCAAGTCTCTTTTTCAATGGCAAGAAGAGTGATCCCTTTCGGGGGGGGATTCCTCTGCGTCGGCTGCATATAGGTCTTTTGGTGCTGGTCCGTACGTTGTTACACTGGAATAATGAGCCCCTATATTGTCCATCTGAGTTGTAGCGTGGGCACAATTCTGCCTCTACCCCTCCAATATTTACTAAGTTCTGTCCTTAAACTGTGAGCTCCTCAGGGATTGGGCTGTCCCTTCTTGATTTGTCCAGAAAGCCCCTAGCACATGATAAATGCTACCATAAACAACAATTACAATTGTGATCATGGACAGATTCAGTTTTTAAAGGCCAACATTCCAAACTGGGTGCCTGTATTGAATGTGTGGGCACAGACACGTAATGGTGCATGCCAAATAAACAGCTGCCTGCACAAAAGGGTAATTATGCAGCTATGGCCTTTTATTTATTTATTTATTTATTTATTTATTTTGTGTGCTGCTTAAGCACCATTCTGATGCATGCAACTGCATGTTTTTCATGCTCAGCTCAGGTATATATTAAGAATCTTGTCCCCCAAATATGTGCAGGCTTTGAAAGGCGTAATGTATCTCTGCTGCTTAAACTGTGTGCTGTGTTTGAGTTGGCTCAGAAAGTTGCCTCCAGAAACCTGAACCTTTTGGGAGCAGAGTCTTGGAGCATTCCAGTTTTGTTAAAGGGAAACGTAGCTGATTCCAAAGTGTGAAATACCAATATCTGAACTTCAGCATTTGGTAACGTCCCCTCGCTGCTCAAGAGCTTCCACTGAGCCAGGTTCATGTTCTTAATAGATGAGAGGGAGGGATAGCTCAGTGGTTTGAGCATTGGCCTGCTAAACCCAGGGTTGTGAGTTCAATCCTTGAGGGGGCCACTTAAGTATCTGGGGCAAAATCAGTACTTGGTCCTGCTAGTGAAGGCAGGGGGCTGGACTTGATGACCTTTCAAGGTCCCTTCCAGTTCTAGGAGATAGGATATCTCCATTAATTTAGGGGACTGGACTTGATGACCTCTCGAGGTCCCTTCCAGTCCTTGAATCTATGAATAACCGTATACAGTCAGTGACTCCATGGATATTTGTTACCATAGCAACCGCAACCCTCCACTGGAAGGGTTCGACATGGTATAAAAATGACATGCCACTTCCCTTTCTTTAATCGTGAATAAATATTGTCGCATGTATTCGTGCAAGCTATTTGCAGTTGAGTGTGTCCTGCACTGAGTGTGTGTTTGTAAGATCAAATCAGGTAAAAGGTGTTGATGGATCAAAAACCTGCTTGTAACTAAAGGGAGATAAAAATAGATTTGCAGACCGCATAGGTTTTCTCTAAAAAGTCTTTGCTAATAGATTTGTGTTAGCTGTTAAATGCCTTGAAAAGAGGCTGCTTGGTTGGGGGGGGGAAAGAACTAGAAGGCTGGATTGCCTGAAGGAGTTGCAAATGAAAACTATCTTAGCATCAAAAGAAATCAACACCACGTTTTGTATAGTTGATGTATAAATGCCTTTTATTGTGTGGAAGTTGTTTGGGATTTGCACACACGGGACATCAAAGATGCTACAGCAAAAATGTACTTTCAGTATAAAGCTGAAGAATAAAACGGAGACCTGCAAGTTACCATTTGATCAGGTGATCTTCTTTACTATGTCCAATCTTCCAGCTGGCCTGCTCTGCCCTCTTATTGACATCATCAGGCTCCTGAAACACAAAAAAATAAACTGGGCTTCAGAATTGATTACATGTGCAAAAATTCCTCTCTGCTCCTAGCAGTAGAGGGTTGGATGGAGAGTGGCCCTGCAGTAGGTTTTCAGGTTCTAGGAGTTGGAGGCCTACTCAGCTGGCAATCAGATCAGGTGGAGGGTCCTTCAGCTGGGCGGGGCACTCCAGCTGAGGTCTGCCTTTAGAAAATAGAGAGCATTTGAAGCGACAAATCCCGCTTCCTTGCCTTCCTGGTAAGGGCATTCTTTACACTTGGAAAGAAGCCATGTCCTTCTATTCACTGGGCACACACATAGTGTAAATGCAAATACTCCAGACGGGGAAGAAAAACAATGGAGGTTCCAGTTGTTACACCACGGGCTATCTAGGAAGGGTGAAAGTTCAGTTTACATTATATTTCCTGCTTGCAGGTCTTCCCTCAGTCTTTAATTAGGCAAATTCCACTTGCATGAGTAAGGACTGAATAAAACCCGAGCAAGGATCTCCACTTTGGCCCTAAGGGTACCTCTACACTGCACTTCGACACCCACAGCTGGCCCATGTCAGCTGACTTGGGCTGGGGCTGTTTAACTGCAGTGTAGACGTCCAGTTCGGGCTAGAGCCCCGGCTCTAGGGCCCTGGGAGGTGGAAGGGTCCCAGAGCTTGGCTGCAGCCTGAGCCGGAATGTCTACACTGCAATTAAACAGCCCCTGAGCCCCGTGAGTCCAAGTCAGCAGGCGTGGGCCAGCCGCAGGTGTTTAATGGCCGTGTAGACATGCCCCAAGTGACCGGTGCAATTGGGACAACACTTTGGCACTAAAGTTTGGCGGGGATTACAGCCGCTAGAGAACAATCCCTTTTCAAAGTAGAAGAGTCGTGCAGTTTAAAGGGGAATTTCCCCCGTTGGTGTACCACTTTAAAATGGATCTTAGAGTTCAGGAGAACTTCAGATTCCTAGCCAGTTACATTCTACGGTCACTGTTACCTAAGGGATGATATGAATGCCAAGTAGTGAACAAGGACAGGGCTGTGATTGTTGTAATGCCTAGTTAGAAAGTCCATCGATTGGTAGTGAGTACAGTGAAAGAGCAAGTGGGAACTTCAGGCAACTTCTCTATCTTCCATTCAGCTAAATAAGATGCTTTAATTTAGGGGGACCAGACAGCAAATGTGAAAAATTGGGTTGGGGTGGGGGGTAATAGGAGCCTATATAAGAAAAAGACCCAAAAATCAGGACTGTCCCTATAAAATTGGGACATCTGGTCACCCTACTTTAATTCCATGCTGCTGAAGTGCTCCCTCCTTTGTGTGCTCTGGAGTGGAGGAGCTCCAGACAACGTAGTTCAAGGCTTATACAGAGTGTGCATTTATTTTCAGGTGTCAAAAGCAGCGGCAGACTTGATGGCATACTGCGAAGCCCATGCCAAGGAAGACCCTCTACTGACCCCGGTGCCAGCTTCAGAAAACCCCTTTAGAGAGAAGAAGTTCTTCTGTGCGATTCTGTAAGCCCTCCATGAGCCTGACATGCACTCGGCCCGCTCTGAACACTAATGTAGCGTTTTTAGCAATGTGGACAACTTTCTAGTCCACAGAATTTAAAAAATAACAAGGCCTGGAAGATCCGGAGATGTGCATGTTTAAAGAAACTGGTCACCTTTTTGGGGAATAAGATCTACATCGTGAGGCAGAAGATCTGAGGTCTGCAGAGTTACCGAGATAGAAAAATATGTAAAGATTAAATGTGTGTCACTTTTCTGCTCACAAAAAAAACCCAACAAAAAACAAATCCTTGTTTGATTGTTCCATATTTAAAAAAGACACTTGTGCTGAGCAAGGTAAAGGTTGAGGCTGTGTATAACCTCATTGGAATGATTATCGTTGGGTTTTTCCAAATAATACTTATTTAAGTTGAATTGTCAAATATCACAACAGGCTAGGTAGGTTACTATTATATTACTTAATGTTTGGTCTCGTACTTTTTTTGTTTTGTTTTTGCATTAGAGTAGCACAGAGATGGATGGGATTCCTCAAAAGATAACAAACTAAACCGTTTAGCAAGGGCTTAGTCAGTGATACTTCACATCTGCAGTGTGAACACTGTCTGTCTGTGTGTTTCTCTCGCAACCTATTACCACGACTTCTAACACTTGTATATGGTAGCTTCAATTGTAAAAGTAAATCGGGTGTTGTGATTGGTGCTTCATATTTTTGTGACTACTTTTAAGTAATAGTGCATGAAAAGATCCCTGTGTTCAATCCATTTAGAAACTTCTATTGTTCGGAGCCACATGCTGGTGGAAGACGCTGTAGAGAAAAAACAAAAGATGTTCTGACAGCAAAGAGAAAATTACTCTAATGCCTTAGATGTGCCTGAAATACCTCTCATCTTATGTAGGGTTGCCAGCTACTGAGAAGCCTATTCCTGAAATCAGAACAGTTTATACGGGGAGTTTAGGGTCACTCAGATCCCTAGAGGTCATAGGGTAAAACCAAGAAGAAAAATGATATACGTTTATTTTGACCAAGTTGTCTCTGCTCCTCCCCTACCCTTCTGTGCCTCTTCTCTTACCCATGTTTCTTGATTTTTAATATCACCCGATCTATATTAATGTTTCACAGCAGCACGTCTTCTCTGAACCATGTCCCTTAAACAGCGTGACAGAGCCAGCACATAGCAGGCCTGCTGCCGTACTGTGCTAAGTGGCTGATCCAAGCGCGGCTTGATTCAGAGGGGACCTCAGATGGAAGGCAGTGCAAACTTGTCCACCCCTGCGCAATTCTCTGCTTCCACTATACTGCCCTCAATGGGTATCTTTTCCCAAATCTGTTGGCTCTAAACCCCAGTGTTTACAAAACTCCCTCTGCCATCGAATCTGACCGCTATTTTCAATCCCCTCTTCCCCCACTCATTCAGAATATGCTTTTACTAACAGAAGGGCCATAGCACTCTGTACCCAAACAATGGCAACAGGCAGATTGCAAATGTGCATATGGCTATAATAGCGAGAGGACTCCATACTGAAGGACTAAGGGTGATCTATCAACCACTGAAATTTTTGTTAATGTGTTGGACTCCCGTTATCCGGTCACTAACCATCCAGCCCTTTGTGAGCTTTCACCATGTATTTCTTACCGCTTTAACATCCCATCATGAAACAAAACGAGAGTAAAGAAAATCGGGTGCGTCTTTAAATAGAGCACCCAATTACAGGGTGGTATATTGACACGACATATCTCGAACAGCTTAAGGTGGAAGCTTGCAACTTCCTCGCTTTGTAAATGTCATGCTTTGAGTTGCTGTTCCAGGTGGGCCTCCATTAAAGCCTCCAAGCTGGATCATGAGGCATTAAGAAAGATGGCGAGGTGGCTCTCTAATCGATCGGATGAGCCCTGCTAATCAGGGCAAAGCCAAGCCATCGGAATGGTGTCCTGGTGGAAGCACCCAGTGCTTTGCTTACATATAGCCTGAAATTGACAAATTTGTTTAATCAGCTTTAGGAAACTTGTCCTAACCAGATGGAGAGCGAGAAGATAAGCCCAGAGGCTACAAACATCAATTTGAACACCATAAAAACCTAATATTTCAGGTGGAGGCTGAGGCCATCTGAAATGGCCCCATAAAGAGCTCAGAGAGACAGGTTACAGTATCAGGTACAGTATGCGACTCCAAACATACCTTGAGGAGATTCTACTGCTGTTTAAATTGGGTTCTGGCCTTTGGCCTGAAGCGGGACTGCTGTGATTGCAAAGACACCAATACGCCTCACACCTAAACAGCATTGAGAGAGGAGCTGTCATATGCCACTGGTGCAGGAGTGAGAACGGCTCCAGCTTTTCATGCTATTCTGAACCCTTAGAACACTTTCGTTTTTGGCTCAAAAACCCAGCAGCTATACATTTAGGATAATTCCAGATCCATGGCAACCCTGTTAATATGAAGTTCCAAATCAGGGATGAGTTCAAATTTTTGTATTTAAAAGGACAACAGAGTCTTAAGGTACCTGTCAGAAAATCTTTATAGTCCATAACAAAGTGGAAATTTTTTTTGACTAACTCTTTTCTACTCCTGCATCCTTGTGTACAGGCAGAAGCGTTTCTGTAGCGAAAACCACTTAACAGTGGATTCTCTCTTTCTGATTCTTGGCATCTGGGAATGGTTATACAATACAACCAGTAGCTAAATGGTGTCCGACTTGCCTTGCTAGCTTTCAAATACAAGATCCTGTATTTCAATCTTTATACTGTATGTTTGACTAGCTTAGGTTTCATTTGACCAATGAGTAACTCTACAGCTGTTTTCACTTGTGTTGGTAAAAACAATGTAAATATATTCAACTGTTCTTTTTTAATAAGATCTACTATAACTGACAATGAAGCATAGCTTAATTAGTCAAGACCCTAAATCTCACTAATCCCGGAACAGTACTCAAATCCTGGCATGAAGTTTTGTCATAACTTTTTAATGACTTACATATTTTACAACTTAAATTCTTTAAAAGAATGCTCCATGACATTTTAAATTACACCAAAACATTCGTTCAGTATCTCTGTTGTTACAGTTACTAATTCAGATTTTTTTAAATTCTTTTTAACTGGGGACGCAACCAGAAAATCTCACCCTAGTATTTATATTTACACAGACCCACTTTCACTAGCAAAGTAGAAATTTTACCTGCCAAGAAAATTTTCCCCCATAAAAAAGTAAAATATTTCAATATTGAAAATATATTGATTCTGTATATTTAACATGGTATAAATTTGTTTGATATACTGAAGGTCTTTTCAATAAAAATATCCTATGTACGGGAATGTGATTTTCCCCCCCTCCCCACACACACACACAAACTTTGTTCATAGCAGTGGTGAGTTGCTACATGTACATTATGTTATATCAGCCAGATAGGTGGATGCATCTTCCTACCCAAGAAGCGATCTGTTTTCAGGAAGAGGGTCAGTGGAAATGTCAGTGGGTTTTTTCTGTTTTGTTTTTTGTTTTTTAAACAGGGAAACTTGAAGTTGTGATGTAGTGCACACGCTCATCCCATGTGATCAATGTATGTGTATGAAATAAAATTTTGGATTCGTTTCAAATATTGTCTGTTTGCTTTTTAAAGTAGCAGTCAGGGTTGGTGGGTTTTTCTTCTTTTTCACAAGTTAACTCTCCTGCTCCAAATGACAGAACCAAATGTGTTCAGGATATGATGTTGGTTTAGGGAGCTTTCCAAACTAACCGTAAACCACATCCTCCACACACCCCCACCGCCCCCCCGGTTTCAATAGCCGCTTTTGTGATGGTGTGAAAGGGAAAGAGGCCTTTCAGAACCTCAGCTTTCCCAGGGCCCTCTCTAAGACCCTGTCTGCTTTAAGGAAATTTCCACTGATGTAATTACGCTACTGCAACCCCCTGATGTGGACATGCTGCCCCAGAGTTTACGCTGACACAGTTTACTTTGGGGTGTTACCAGCTTAAGCGGCACTGTTGTAAACCTGTCTTTTTGCCAGTGCAGCACATCTGTACAGGTGTGACTACCCAGAGGTAGTGCAAATTGCCGGTACGCAGGGCACAGTGGGTGGTAAACGTTTAGAACCTACCTCCTACAGAGAATGGTGACTCTATCCCACTGCAGGGAAGGCCAGTTGTCATCCTCATTCCTGCCTTGTTTCTCCCTCAGCCCCACCTAAAAGTAAAAATGAAGTCAAACACGAGAAGCAGCAGCTGCTGAATCCTGGGGGTGAGAGGGTATTGCCAGCAGGATCCTAGCACCTGCCTCTGGAAGAAGCTGATGACTTGACTCAGCTTCTCGACACTGTCGAAGGCTTTGGAAATGGAGGATAAATTCTTGGCTATATGAGCTGCCTCCCCCATTCCAAAATCCCTGGGACCCGTAATGGAACTAGAGTAGAAAGTCCCGCGCAGGAGGAAATGACCAGTCTGCCATAAGTAAAAGATACCGGGAAGCAAAGGGTCCCAAGTTCACCTCCCCATCTCAGGCAGATGTTTTTGTTTTCCAGAAAAAGGCAGATCTCTGCTCTCGGGAGGGCACACGTTCAACCTTTCCAGGACGAGACTCCAAATTCCCAGCTGCTGCATGGGAGCTCTGTGTGAAACACCAGCTTAGTTTCACTCACTTAAACTAGCCCAGGATGTGATCATGCCCCTGTGGAAATAGTCCCGATTCCATTCTTTTTCACCAATGAACTGCCTCCCCTTCCATGCACGCATACATCCACCCCGTGTGTGCAGCCGCCTTCTTCCTGGGAAAGATGGTGTACTTCCTTTTCCCACCTTCTTCTCCTAACATCTTCACCGGGTGAGTGGCTGCTTTACTTCCCCTGGGTGAACAACATACGTGCACTCTTTCCCAGTCGAAAGGAAAGGCTCCCGCTCCCTGTTGCAATGATCTTCCAGCTGGTCAGTGTACGCTCCTTGTACTGTCTTTGCATCCTGTACAGTGCTGAGCGTGCTGGCATTTAACATAACTATTAGCATCTCTCCATAACAAGAGGAATTAAATCAACATTTATCTTGAAGGGTGCTGCATTCCCCTGGGGCTCTCTCTATTGAAGCACAAACTGGAAATGAAATGTTTGCTCAGGGGATCCGTAATGGCCCAGGATACAGAAGCTTTCGCCTTTTGGTCATAGGCTCAGATATAGGACAGTACAATAGTAACGAACAGTCTTTACTATACAGAAGATGTATGTACAGAAATGTAGCTGGTCTCAGCTCAGTTGTTCCTAGGGGATGTGTCCACCTCACAAAAGCTGAGTAATTAACTTGTAGTGAATGATTTGTTTCCGGTTAATTTAGTGTCTTTGTTCCCCATATGGAAAAGAACGGTGGAATTTCACTGGGAAGATACCAACAGAGTTCCACAGAAATGAACATAAGAACGACCATACTGGGTCAGGCCAATAGTCCATCTAGCCCAATATCCTGTCTTCCGACAGTGGCCAATGCCAGATGCTTCAGAGGGAATGAATAGAACAGAACAAATATCAAGTGATCCATCCCCTGTGGTCCAGTCCCAGCTTCTGGCAGTCAGAGGTTTAGGGACAGCCAGAGCATAGGGTTTTGTCCCTGACCATCTTGGCTAATAGCCATTGACGGACCTATCCTCCATGAAGGTATCTAATTCTTTTTTGAACCCAGTTATGATTTTGGCCTTCACAACATCCCCTGGCAACGAGTTCCACAGGTTGACTTTGTGTTGTGTGAACAAGTACTTCCTTTCGTTTGTTTTAAATCTGCTGCTTATTAATTCCATTGGGTGACCCCTGGTCCCTGGGTTATGTGAAGGGGTAGATAATCATTTTCTCCACACCATTCATGAGCAGCCCCAGTTTTTTTAAACTCTCCTTGTTTGGAAGCTGTTCCATACCCCTAATCAATGTTGTTGCCCTTCTCTGTCTTTTCCAAGATATATTCTAATATATCTTTTTTGAGATGGAGCGACCAGACCTGTTTCCTAGGAACAACTGAGCTGAGACCAGCTACATTTCTGTACATACATCTTCTGTATAGTAAAGACTGTTCGTTACGCAGTATTCAAGGTGTGGGCGTGCTATGGACTTATATAGTGGCATTATGATATTCACTGTTTTATTATCTATCCCTTTCCTAATGGTTTCTGTTACCTTTTTGGACGGCTGCTGCACATTGAGAGGATGGTTTCAGAGAACTATTCAGGGTTCTATATAAGGAACTCTATGTGACATTCTATACCTTGGGGGAGTGCCCTGTAACCTCCATATTCCTCATTTATATATAATTGTGATCGTGCAAATAAAGCCTGCCATGTGTGGTATCAGGGGAAAGGTTATGATCTGCTGAAAGTCACTGTTCTATCTAAATATGTATATCATTAGTGCACATGAAGTTATGAGATTGTGTTGTATGCTTGTCAGTAACACATGCTGTAAGTTGGGGGATCGGCCAGATATTATCGCCCCAGACACAACAGCAAGGAACGTAACCAACGCCTGGGCAGGTGTCAAACAACCATCAACAGCCATTGTCCAGCAAAAGAGCTACAATTCAATGACTCACCTGCATAAGGCTACACCAGGGGAATTGCTCAACCTTGCCTGGGGACTCAGCAATGCCCACCAGACTTGCCTGGCCCTGGACTTGTATTCTCCAAGCACATGGACTAAGGATATAAAACAGAACACAGGAGCCCCATGCTTGGCCTTTCTCCTTCCCCCACCTACGCTGCCAGTAACAAGGACACTGAGAAGACTGAAGACTCCAACAGAGGGGACTGGCCCAGGTTTCAAGGGTGAAACCTGTGTACTATGAACTGCAATATACGGTGGGGCGAGAAAAACTGCTTAACGTAGATATTGCCCAGTCGAATAGGGTTGAGAATTTAGACCGGGATTGGCAATCTGCAGCACGTGAGCTGATTGTTAGTGGCACTCTGCTGCCAGCCGGGGTCCCGGCCGCCGGCCCCGCTCAGCCCGCTGCTGGCCTGGATGGATGGAACCCTGGGCTGGCAGCAGGCTGAGCGGGGCCGGTGGATGGAACCCCAGACCGGCAGCGGGTTGAGTGTCTCAGCCCACTGCTGGTCTGGGGTTCCGTCTGCTGCCCGCGCTGCCGGTCTGGGGTCCCAGCTGCCGGCCCCTGCCAGCTGGGGTCCCGGCCGCCAGCCCCGCTCAGTCCACTGCCAGTCTGAGGTTCTGCCCGCCGGCTCCTGTAAATGTAAAATGTATTACTGGCACGCGAAATTACCGTAAATAAATGAAGACTTGGCACACCACTTCTCAAAGGTTGCCGACCCCTGGTTTAGACTGAGTGCTTCTATTTTATTTTTCTTTTGGGAAGTAACTCTGACATTTTGCCTATCACTTAAAATCTATCTTTTGTAGTCAATAAATGTGTTTAACTCCTTATCTTTACCAGTGAGTTTGCCTGAACTGTTTGGTAAGGGTGTTTGCTCAGGTTTGCAAAGGCCGGTGTATATCCACATTCCATCAATGAAGTGGTGAACCAATTAATAAATTTGCACTGCTCATCTTGAGCAGTGCAAGATGTTATATTCCTGAGGTACAAGGCTGGGAGCTGGGGGGATTAGGCTGGTGCCTTTCTCTGCTTGATTTGTGAGTGGCTCTGGGAGCATTCATGCACTCTAGCTGGGTGTGGGGCTCCACATGCTGAGTGATAACAGCGCCTGGACGGGTTTGCTGCTTGTCACTAGCAAAGCATTGGGAGAGACAGCCCAGGCTGGAGAGTTAAGGGGGCACAGCGGTCTCACGCGCAGGTTGCACCCTGGGGATCCCGTCACACTTTAAAAGCCTACAGAATTCAATAGAGAAGGATACCCTTTCATTGGTGCTTTGCACCTTCCTATAGAATGCTATAGCAGGGATATAATTCTCTTTTAAATTCTATGCCAGTACCAAAAACCTCTAGAAAAGCTAACAGGATCAAGAAGACTCCAGAATTCCAACTGAATTCTATAAGGGTCATGACTTTTCACTGTTTTATTGAATGCATTTATTAGAAATTACTTGGTGAAGGATTTTATGAAGAACTCTTAGAAGTGACCCAGGAAGGTTTTAGGCTGCAGTGTGTAGTCAGCATTTGAAATACAAGTTGTGTTGGTTAATTTTGCTTGGATATACAATATGGTTCAGTTTCCTGAATGGATGAACTCTAAAAAGGAGGTTTCAGTTTCCAAGTCTCTTGTTTACAAATTGTACTGGCACCATTCTGAGAACGACATCACTGTTATTTGGTGCTTCTGCTAACAGAGTGGCATGGAATGCAAACATAGCAGTAATATTTATGGTATGATGTAAAATACACAGTAGGATCTGTTACTTTCGGTAGTCACCAGGCAGCAAATATAGGTATTTCCAAAGCTGTATGGGCCATTTCTGAACTCTATGCCCTGGAGACTACCTTATAAGTCAGGAGCGATATGAGCTAAACAATTTTTGTAACACAGTTTGGTGCAGAGACACTTAACTCAGCTGGAGTTACTTTAAATTCACTCTGGCGCAACAATGGCCAAATAAAAAGGAATTTTTTGCTCACAGTGAAAACTTGGTTAGAAGCCATGTTATCATGGCATTTTCCTTATCTG